AACTGAGGCTTGTTGACCAGCCACGCTGGCTGCAGCCGCGCCCGGAGAAGGATGGATTTCTTTCGGCGTTTTTTTGAGATTTTATGGGGCTTTGGGAGACGGTTTATGAAGGTTCTGTAAGGGTCCAAAGGTTCTTGCAAGAGCTGCACAGGGCATTATGGGGTTTTGTAAGGGTAGTGTAGAAAAGGGTGCTACAAACTACAGGATTTCCATGTGAGGCCGAGGCAACGAGGGCGACGGCTCCAAGAACAATGGCGGGGCAAGTGCAGGAGAGCCAGCAGGGGAGCAGCCCACCGCCCTTGCGAAAGACAGCGAGACCTAGGAACAGCAAGTTCGATTAGATTGGATGCGCTGCCTCTGAGAATTTGCCAAGAGCACAAACACGTTGACACGGACCCGAATGCAACGCTGCAAAATTAGACAATACTACGAAGGACGTTCAGAAAAGAGCTCGGGAGGCCAAAGAGGACAGCCAGGTGGCTAAGGAAGCAGAAGAGTTTGCCCGTTAGGGCTTACCTCAACCTTTTTAAGGATTTATAGAAGAAAATCAGACTGAGGAGCCCTAAAAAGGTTGGTTTCCCAGGGTCCAGGTAGGGTTTGCGGGGTTTAGGACCTCATCCGAAAGGAGGGGTGCAGCAAGTCGGATTCTCTGGCTTATTATCAGAAGTCGCCTCCAGCAACCCTAAGCTTAAAACCCTAAACCCTAAAACCCTAAAGCCCCCAACCCGAAAATCTTAAAACCCCTAACCCTAAAACCCTAAACACAAAAACTTTAAACCCTAAACCCGAAAACCCTAGACCCCAAACCCAAAGGCGCATGCCGACGGACAAGCCCTAAGCCCTAAGCTGGACGTTTTTGGGGGATCCTGGGCTCTCGGTTTTCGGGCTGTACAATATAATATGGGTAGCTCTCTAAATTAGGGTCCCATTTTGGGGATCCTTTGTTTAAAAGGGTGCCGTACTACGTTTGGGATCTAAAAAGGGTCCCTAGTTGAGAGAACTGCCCATGTATTAAAATAAAATAATATTTGGTATGACACCATCGTGGCTTGGGAGTTTTTTTGGGGCTAAGGCTTCCAGACTTTGGTTTTAGGATGTTGGTGCTGTCTTGAGTTTGCTCAAAGGATCAGAGGACTAAGTAAGCAGTTTCGGATTCATAGGTAGGGGGAAACTTCGTAAGTACTTATAACACTGCTTAAGATACCCTTGTGCCCTGATCCTCTGAGCCGGGTCCTTTTTTGCCCCTGCGGTGCCCCGTGGTATAGCAGCCCAACAGCTTCACTAAGGAATCTATCGCAGCCAATCAAAAAGGGGTCCTTACTGTGATTTGAAGTACTTGCACATTCCTTGCTCCAGAAATCCTACAGAGGGGACGCTTTAGCAACCCTACTAAAAAGGCTTTCAAATGTATTCCCTAAGCCCGAACCCTATGCTACTTGAGGGCTTTCTTGGAGTCATTCCGGTGCCAGGACAAGTGCTTCCTTGTTGCTGGAGGCGCCGGGAGTCGTCAAGTGCTCTTGGTGTTTAGGGGCGTAAGACGTGTTCAGGGTTTAGCCGGTTGGGGTTTAAGTGAATTTGGGGTTTTGGGGCAGGGTTTAGGCGGTTGGGGTTTAAGTCAATTTGGGGTTTTGGGGCAGGGTTTAGGCGGTTTGGGGTTTACGTCCTTTGGGGCTTTGGGGATTGCCGCTCGTTCGGGGGTTACGGTTTAGGGTTCAGGGGCCCGCGCTGCATGTATTGAGTCATTCGAGCATGGCGGATGTTGAGGATTCAGTTGCCCACACACCCCCGACACTCAGCGTCAGATATGCTACGACCTTCCAATATAAGAAGCCATGGCTTCCGAGTCCGCGCCGATCCGTATAGACGTCTCGCTTCTTTCTAGTGGAGCCACGACTTCCGTAACCGTGGACCGGCCCCGAACAACATCTTCCAGGTTCTGGATTCCATCATCGAGAGCCGGTACTTGGGGAGCATGAGAGAAGTGAGGAACTTGCACGACTCCTTCAAAGCCAAGTCCAGGACCGTCCCCGTGATGCTGGTCGTGACTGGAGGAGTGGGGTCTCTCATGGACGCCAGCCTTCCCCCCAAGGCATCCTTAATAGCTGAATGAGTACACTTTAAACTATTCGGGATAGTATGATCCCTTGTAGGACTGAAAGTGTACACTTTTTGTGCTTATGAACTCAGCAGCTAAGCATGTAGGCGATCTGCACAAGGTGCAGGAGGCGATGGCGATGGTGATTTTGCGGATGCAACACCCCATCATGTTGACAACCCTAAACCCTAAACCTTAAACCCTAAACCGAACCCACGGGGACCCTTCGAGGACCCCCCTCCAGCGGAACCCAATTCTGTGCAGACCCGGAGAGTCACCGCGGTCGCAGCGGGGAAGAGCATGCGAAGCAGGGAGATGCACGAGGCGAGGCGTTTTGGTGGTTTCGGGCTTTTTGTGCTTCGGGGGGTTCAGGATTCGACGCAGGGGCCTTTATTTGTAATTAGAATGTATATCTGTATATATATATGTTTTGTTTCTTTTGGGAGGGGGGTATTATACCATCATTATATTAAGGAACCCCCCAGAATAGTAGAGGTAATTATTAAGACCCTTTACTAGGCTTTAGGGGTTATGGATTTAGGATTCAGGGTGGAGGGTCTAGGTCTAGGGTTCAGGGTAGAAGCCTGAATAATTACTCATATAATGCCAAAGGGCTCCTTATTCTTAGCAGCTGAATGAGCACACTCTAAACCTGTGTTGGGATACTATGATCCCTTATAGCACCGAAAGGGTACACTTTTTGTGCTTATGAACTCAGCTAAGTCTTTTAATTACGGTATAATGCGCCCCGGGATGCCCTCTTCGGGCTCTTGAGGCCCCTGTATGAGGGGTCCCAGAGAGCCCAAGACCGCTTAAGTAAGGAATATGCCTGAAATCAGAATATCATCATATTAAGGCCCCCATAATTTAAGGTATATTCCTTAGTTAAGGGGTATTGGGCTCTCTGGGGTTTAGAGGGTGAGGGTTTCGGGTGTTTCAGGCTCCGGGTTGTCTTTTGTTACAAGCCATCTCTTTGCGGTGTTCAACAGGCTTTTAAAGTTTTGGGAGTGATTGGGTTTAGGGTTTAGCTTTTATTTTCACCAGGGTTGTGGACCTTGTGTGGAACTCATGCACCGTAGTGTTGTACAGGGCAACACCAGACCAGGATGTCACGCCTCCAAACTCGAGCTCAAGCCGTAGTACCCAAACCGACGAGATGCTGCTCGTTTGTAGAGAGAGGGTTTAGGGTGTAGGGCTTGGGGTTTAGGGCTTTGGTTTTAGGGTTTAGGGTTTAGGGCTCAGGGTTTAGGGCTTAGGGCCTAGGGTTTAGTTTTTATTTGTAGGGCTTCACATGAGACATTTTTTGAACCGACCTTGCAAGCCTCTCCTTTCAGAAAACATAACCCACGTTCTCTGAATGAGGTTCCCTTTTTTCGGAACCCAGCAGAAGGCGGCGCCCTTATGCAAAGGATCCTAAAATCCTAAAAGAGAACCTAATTTTGAGAACTACTCACATATCGAGATAAACTATTTAAAGAAGAAAAAAATACGCATAGCCCTAAGCCCCTAAACTCCGTAAATCCCAAAACCCTAAAGTCCTAAACCATAAGCCCCTAAACTCCTAAACCCTAAATCCCTAAACCCTAAATCCCTAAACCCTAAGTCCCTAAACCCTAAACTTCTACACCTTAACAAATCGGAGCATCAATCAAGCAGGTAAGAAGCTGCCAGAGGGCTGGTACTCAGTGGCTCCTTGGCGCGCAACTCTGGGTTTAGGGCTTCGGTCTCTGATGCTTTAGGGTAGAGGGCTTTATGGCTTCAGGGGTTTAAGGTTGTCAGGTTTTTGGGGTTTCCAGCTTTTAGGGTTTAGGGTTTATTTGGGTTTGGGGTTTAATTACAGTTTCAAACGATAGTTGCCTCACCTTCGTAGCTCTCTGATTTAGGACTTTAGGGGCTTAGGGCTATCGAGCTTCGGGGGCTTTCTTGCGGTTTAGGGTTTTAAGGCTTTGGGGTGTTTGGGGTTTTTACGGTTTTAAGGTTTTGGGGCTTCAGGGTCTAGAGTTCAGGGTTTTGAGGCTTTTCGGGTTTAGAGTTGACGGTTCAGGGTCTGTTGGGGTTTAGGCTGTTGTTTTTTTTCTTTGGGGGGGGTGGGTTTTGGGGTTTGAGGGTTCTCAGATTTAGAGCTTTTTGGGCTTGCGACTCTCAAGGTTTCGGTGGGTTCCTAGTGTTTCCTTTTTTTTTTTTAAGGGCCTTTAGGGCTCCAGAGGGTATCAGAGAGCTTCGGGGTTTTATGCGGCTTCAAAAGGGGGGTTGAAGAGTATAGGGCGAGAGGGTCGAGTGTTTTCTGTTGTTTTTGTAGTTTTGCTTTTTTTGCTTGTTTGCTTTTTGGGTTTAGATTTTTAGGTCTTCGAGTTTTTTAAAGGGGTTTTTCGGGTTCTGGGATTGCCACGGATGCACAGCCGGAAGCCAGGGGAACCCTGAACCCGACTCTCTACGACTTTTGAGGCGTAAAAGCCCCAAACCCTAAGCCCTAAAATCCCGGAAGGCCCAGAGCCTTGAAATCTCTAAACCCCTAAGCCCTCAGTCTTTTGCAGCATCCGAGGACGTCTTGGGTTTCGGTGGGCTTTAGACCTCTGCGAGTCTCCGGGTGCTCCAATTCGAAGCAACCACGGGTGTTTCTTAGGAAAAAATTCCTGCTTCAAAGGGACCTCAGACCCCAATCATATCGGGTCCTTGGCTTGGCTGTGGGGAAGAGGGATGCCCCAAGAGTGAGTGGCAAACCAGTTTCGGGTTTAGGGTCTACCCAGAGAGCCCAATACCCCTTAACTAAGGAACATACCTTAAATTCTAGGGGCCTTAATAGTATGATTTAAGGTATATTCCTTAATTAAGGGGTATTGGGCTCTCTGGGTAGGGTTTTGGCATCCTGAACCTGAACCCTACATGCCGCTGAAAGCAATCCTAGGTGCAGTTCCCCTTGGGAGATTTCCCGCACCTGCTGCGCAAGGCCAGCCAACTGCGGAAGCAAGACCCAACATGAAGGTTTAGGGCTAAGGCCTTTGGGTTTAGGCTTTAGGGTTTAGGGCTAAGGGTTTTCGGAAGACAGCGCAAGCTCCGTCCGTGGAACGTGGAACTGATTAAACCCCAATCTCTACACCTCAGAAACCCATTTACCAAAAGCCAGTGTGGTCCACAAAGCGCCCTTCAGAAAAAAACTAATGAACCTGCACACATTCTAAACCCTAAACCCTTAAATCCTTAAAGCCCTGAGCCCTAATCCCTAATCCTTAAAGCATCTCAAACCCTCCACCCTAAGCCCCAAACCCTAAAACCTAAAACCCTAAACCCGAAACCCTAAACCCTATACCCTAAACCCTAAACCCTAAACCCTAAACCCTAAACCCTAACAAGCCCCAAACTTGGCCCCAAGCCCTAAACCCCGACGCCCTAAGCAGGGCCTGCTGCGGCGCAAAGACTGGCGCGCGGCAGACTTGCAAGCGCCCAAGGAGCCGAGAGAACCCGGATTTTTAGGCTTTCGGGTTTTAGGGTTTAGGGTTTTAGGCTTTAGGGTTTTAGGGTTTAGGGTTTTAGGCTTTAGGGTTTTAGGGTTTAGGGTTTAGGAGCCGAGAAAACCCGGATGTTCGCAGGGGGAGGTTTGGGTTCTTGTAATGGGGATCCTAGAAAAGATCCTTTAAAGGGGCTGCTGGAAGGGATCTAGAATCTACAGTTCAATTTGGGGTTGAGGGTTTAGGATTCAGGGTTTTGGGTTTAGGGTTTAGGATTCAGGGTGTTGGGGTTTAGGGTTTGGGGTTGAGGGTTTAGGATTCAGGGTTTTGGGTTTAGGGTTTGGGGTTTAGGGTTTAGGATGACCTCGGTTAAAAACCACTAGGCCAGCAGCGTCTTAGAAAAAATATCCACCAACGAAGAATCCCAGAACATTCGCAATATACAAGTTATACAAGCTTTTCGTATTCTCACTCACTTCACGGCGAAAACCCGTCAACTCTAACAGCATATGAGTTGTTAAATCTCTTCAGCCACAACCTGAAGATTGAACCTACAGGTTGTTACCACTCCTAGTGGTATCCTGACGCACAGAAAGCGGATCATCGCTCGATCAACTCAAGTTTATAGTAAGTAAACCCCGAGGCTAGGCAAAGAGTACGCGTTCTGAATCGTAAAGGTCATTTCCAGAGTAGGCCATGAGTAAAGCAAGCTTATAGGGCTTGGTGCAGGGTTTAGGCGTTTATGCTTCAGGGTTCTTTTGCGGGGTTCCTGTTTAGGGGTATGATAGGGGTTCCCGTAAGGGTGCCTCTAAGGGAAGGGCCCTTCATGGCCCTTTGCACTGCTGTGGGAGGTTTAGGGTTCAGGGTTTAGGGTTTAGGGGGAAACATAGACGCGTCTGAAGTCGAGCAGAACATATCCCAGGAGCCCATGGCTTGGCGGTTCTTTCAAGAATCCCTGTAAAACGTTGTGAAGGCTTTTTTGGTTCTTGACACCAAACCCGCAACCCCAAACTCTAAGCCCTAACTAGACTCTACATGTCCCCCCAAGAGAGCCCATAAAAAGGGACCGTAGACAGCTCAGAGGAGCGATACTACGCCATGTGGTATGTGGACTGGGACGCAGTCAAGGCTGGTCCTGCATTTTTCGAGCTTAGGGTTTGGTTTAGGGGTTAGGGCTTAGGGTTTAGGGTTTAGGGGTTAGGGTTACGGGCTTAGGGATGAGGATTTCGGGTGTTGAGGGTTGAGTGTTCGGGGATGAAATGAAAGTTTTGCCGGGGCTCTTCACGCTTTTGCTTTACAGGGTTGGTACAACCCTAAACCTTGGACGCATCAAGGGTGTGGGATTTCGATCTCCGGGTGTGGAGATTTGGTGATTTCTGCGGCTGGTGGATGAAAGCCTGCCTTGCCTAAAGGACCCGAAACTAAATAGGGGTTATGGTACATTTCAAAGTTTTTTTAACGGATAATCCGCAGGATTTAGGCCAGCAGTATGAATCCTTCGGGCTCCCGGTTTTAGATTTGAGTGAGTTGTCATCATATCCCCGTCTGGCTGTACAAAAACATCGCCCCCAAAATCCCCAAGACTATTCATGAAGTTGTGGCGGGATGCCCCCCCCCAAAACCCTGTTCGAGTTATAACCACTCATGAATTGTAGTCGTTTCAGCCTCAGGGCTGTAAAGCCCTGACCTTCAGCTACAAATCCCACTCCCTAGACGCCAAACCCCAGACCCTATTCCTTAACCCCCTAGAATCTAGGATCTGATCCTAAACGCTAGACGGGTCAGTAGCACCACGCAGACGCCGATCTTTTCGATGCTCTTGGTATCGGGTTCTTGAAAGGGTTGCTTCGAGGGTTCCCCCAAGGGTTACTGCAAGGTTTCAGGTGTTTTGGGCTTCTTGTGCTTAAGGGTCCATGTTTCGTTTTTAAATTAGAGTCCTGCATAGTCAGAATGAGGTTTTGGTGTATACTAATTCATGATTTTGCCGGGTTCAGCCAAAGGGTTAAGTACTTGGAGGCTCACGGGGTAGTTAGGTTACAACTACAGTTGCCCTACTTATAACCCTACTTATAACTACCCATGAACCTCCAAGTAGGGTTTCATTTGGGGGGGTTGAGTAGATTCGGGCCGGGAGGAAGTATAAAGAACTAGTAACTCTTCATCTGTCGAGCCTGGTAGCCTTGGGGTTCAGGGCTAGGGTTCAGGGTTCAGGGTTTAGGGTTTAGGGTTTAGGGTTAGGGCTTTAGGGTTTAGGGTTTAGGGTTCAGGATTAAGAGTTTAGAAGTTTGGGACTTTTTGGCTTGGGTTTCAGCCTTGGAAACATGGAAGCATAAAGGCTGAACCCTGAAACCCTAAACCCTAAACCCTCAAACACCCACATCCCGGGAAGGGCGAAGTCTTCGACAGCCGCGCCAGCGCTGAGCGCAAGTTCCGGCAGTTCCTGGACGTCTACAAGGTCGTCGAGGGTTTTCGTAGGTAGTATCAGGGAGGCCCCTTAAAGGGGACCCTTCTTACCCTTACTTATGGCTCTCTTAAAAGGGACCTTATTGAGAGGGTCTCCATCCCAAAGGGTCCCCCTACTCCTAACTCCGAGGTTTAGGGTTTAGGCTTTGTGGTTGAGATCTGGCGTTTAGGGCTTTCGGACTTAATTCCTGGTTTCGGCTTCAGGTTCAAGGCTCTTCATGTGATACCCAAAACCCTAAAACCTGAACCCAAAACCCCAAAACCTGAACCCAAAACCCCAAAACCTGAACCCTAAACCCCAAAACCTGAACCCTAAACCGTAAAACCTGAACCCTAAACCCTGAACCCTAAACCCGAAGCCCTAAACCATGCATGTTTCCTCCATTCGAAGTTGTAAGGTTTCTGCAGAAACTCGCAGGACATCGCGCAGCAGCTGCAACGACAATCACGACGATCATCGCCCATAGCAGTAGGAATGGTGCCAAGAGTTGTAATGGTAAGACTACGACTCATAGAAGACTAAGAATAATGATAATAATAATAAGAAGAAGCACTGGTACTTCTCCATCATTCGGCAAACTTACAGGGTTTAGGGTTTAGGGTTTAGGAGCTTCACCAGCCCCCGCAGCTTCTTTCCACGGTTTTCGTGGTTTGCCACTCTCGGATGACCTCAACCGTAAACCCTCTGTGCCGCCTTTTGGCGGGCCGTTCGGCTGTACTTGGAGGTTCATGGGTAGGTTTGGGGTTTAGGGTTTGGGGTTAGTTATAATCTCATATTTGGGGACTTATAACCCCACTTATTATAAGCGGGGTTATAAGTCCCCTAATATGACTTATAACTATAGTTACCCCACTTATAACTACCCATGAGCCTCCAAGTAGGGAACGAACCGGAAGCTGTCGACTCAGCGTCTGGTAGATGTAGACAGTCAGACCCTAAAGACTAAGGCCCTTCATTGATTCATATCAGAGGGTCCATATATACTACCACGATG